TCCCTCCACTCCCACAGGTCTGCTCGTCTAAGAGCCTTGGCTTGTCTTTCATCAGGACCAACTTAGCTCACCGTGACGCTTCAGTTCCTCGAATCACGGCGGGAAGAGGTCATGGAGGAACTGGGTCCATAGAGCTCCCACTGATCGCAAAGACTCGCTCAGTACTTCTGTCTTTCTAGTGGGATTTCATCGTTTGCAACATTTGACCTCATTATCTCAGTTTCCCATTCAGGGGGATTTCAGGGCCCAGCTTGTGCTGGGTGGAGATTTGCACACACAGCCCTTTCCCCAGAGCCCACAGCCATGCTGTGTGGAACAGGGAACTTTGGCTGGGACCAACCCTGCATTGCCCTGACCTTGCTGTGGTTTAGGGAGCCGAGGGCACCTTCAGAATGAGGGAGCCCTCTGTGCTCCAGGGCACACTCTGGGGAAGCTTTACAGTGTGCCATGAAGGGGCCGCTGACAACCTGTGCACTTCTGAGACCGGCCAACTCAGGCCAAGACACAGCTGCCAGTTCAGGCCTCCTGCCCCCGGCAGAGGCTAGGGCTCAGTGTGGGTTCCAAACAGCTTATAAAAAGATACAGTGGACACCAATGTGGGCTTTTAAAGATTTATTTCAGGATGAGTGTCAGTAGCCTGTCAGAGAAAACCATTCTCATAGTGCCGCCCCTTCTCCCCTGGTGTGAGGGAGCGGCCCGTGTGCCCTTCAGACTAAAAATGAAGACTCGATCTTTCCAATTTGTCTGCTGCTTTTTTCTCACTGCCATTCATTTTGCATCCTCTGTGTTTACAGAGGTCAGGAGACTGACGTTTTTATTCTTGCTCAGGTTTCGGTGCTTCTGTAACTTTGACAGTCTTAATAGTTCGGACATTTGTGGCCACTCCAAAGAGCAGTGCACCTATGAGGGCATAAATACGGCCAAAGACCACTCTCACATAAAAAACTGACTCTTGGCTCTGTGTCACTGAGCGCACCTTTTTGGGAGGATGCCCGCCGTCTGCACTCCCACCGGCACCAGGGTTCCGGCACAGTGGAGGTTCCCAGCCTATGTGGCAATGGCAGTTACGTTTGTTGTTGCAAATTCCCCTTCTATTGCACTTATCGGGGAAACAGTCGTAATTCATTGCAGTGACAGAGCCATTGCAGTAGGTGTTACTGCAGAACTTCCCTGGAGCACAGGGAGCGCCATTCTTCACCCGTCCAGCATCTGTGGTTTCTGTACCACGATGTTCATCCAGCCCAAAACAGGTGAACCCCTCAATCAACGTCTGATGGAATGAAACATGCTCTTGCAACCGGGGAAGATGGGTAACATTCATACACTGCAGCCTTCCACACATCTTATCTATATTTTCACAAGAAAGGAATTCTCTGGACTCTGCAACTCTCCTGCAGTGTCCAAATCGGAAGGTCCCGGTATTTATACCGTAGCAGGCTTGATCGGCGTCCAGCGCGTGTGCACCAAAGAGCTCCCTGCAGTGCAGGGTGCGGTCGGTGCAGTTCCCTTTGTAGCAGAAGCCCTCTTGGGTGCATGGGGTTCCATCCTGCATATAAAGATCATCAGGGCATGCAGCGGTGCTCCCAAGGCAGTACTCTGGGAGGTCGCAGACACTGTGGATGGCCCTGCAGAGAGTCCCAGAAGCAGCGTAGGAGCAGTTTGTGCAGCAGGTGCCCTTATCGCAGACACTGCCAGGTGTGAAGCGACAGTCACTTTTACAGCACGGGTTGGAATAGCACTGCTTGAAGGAGCCACAGTCGCATTGCTCCGCTGGATCCACTTCTAAGTTTCCACAACGTGTCTCCGTTATGCTTTTATTAAGATACACAATATTTTCATGATAAATGCATGAAGTACGCTGATTATATATATTTTGTGTATGTACAAATGAACAATTACTGAATGCATCTGTTAACCCAGGGAATCGAAACATAATGCAAGAGGTCCTTCTCTGGCACTCACACATGTTTTCTGCATCGTAGTCCAGACCGAAGGATCTCCCAATTTGATTGGCTGCTATGATGGCCAACAGGAAATAGTGTCTGCCAAACTGAGTAGTAAAGACCAGGGATCTCTCGTTGCACAGAGAGCGTGCAACAGGCTCAAAGTTAGCTTCATGCAGTCCAGTTTTTTCGAGAAACACAGACGAATCAGGGTGAATAGTTCTGAAAAAGGTTTGCAAAAAATAATTATGAATTGGACTTCCTGGCACTCTGCGATCATTTATGGCAACTGGATCAGCTCGATCATAGATTGTCAAAATGTAAATGTAGTACTTAATACGAAGAACTTGAAAAAAGCTGTCAACAAGACTAAACATACTTATCGCATATTTGGCGCACTTTGTGATATTGTTGAATAAAAGGTATATTGATCTGGAACATTGAACTTGGCCTCTGAGAGTTCCTGCATGGGCAGAATAGAGCCTGCTGGAGAGCCTGGGTTCCTCACTGAGGTCTGCTGCAGAGGAAAAGAGGTCTGTTTCCTCCTTGTGTCCTGGTCTGAACATGGGCCCCGTTGCGTTGGACTCGGCCACGATCTGAGAAACAACGTGTTCAAACCTGTGTGAGTCCTTGAGGGGTCTGATTTCATAGGCGAGGTCATCCAACTTCATGATACCTTCGAGGCCCCCATAGCAGGTGTCAATGGTGACCATGGAGAGAGGGATCTCCTCCAGGTAGCCAAGGTAGTAGCAGTCAGGAGGGATGTAGGGGTAGTCCATCTGCAAGGCCCCTTGGTCATCCTGCGTTGTCACCAGCATGTGTCTAGGCCAAAGGAGCTTCTTACGCCGCATGTGGATGACGTGTTTCTGGCCCCCAAAACGCAAGCTGTAGGAGAGCCAGCCTGGCACCTGAACGCCTTTGCCAAGGTGTGTCTCCTTCCTAGGAATCACCACCTCAGAGGAAACGTAGCGCCAGGAGGGGTGGCCTTGGGAACACTGGACAGGAGCCAAGAGCATCCAGAGCCCAAGCAGGAAGAGGGGGACCTTGAGGATGACCTGTCGTGCTGCCAGCCACATGCCCCAGCTCAGGGGATGTCTGTCCACAGAGAATGGTTAAAGGGAGTGTCCTCTGGAAGCCGGTTTGAACCATCTGCTGTAACTTCTCCCCTCCCAGGCAGACACTATCAGAGAACAAAGGGCCTCCTGCTGAGGCGCTCAGCATCCTGTGCCAGGAGGGTTGCCTGGACAACCAGGGAGGAGGTCACAGTCACAGGGCGTGGCTGGGGGTGAGCCTGGAGGAGCTGTTAGCTGGGGCTATGTGGGAGGGGCAGGGGCATTTCTTGAGTGCTAGTCTGGAGAGGAACAGAGCAGGAAGGGGGGCTGTGTCTCCTTTACCAAAGTCGACCCTTTCCCCCCCGCTGTCTGAAAACGAAAATCACAGTTATTGCATTTTTAGTGACCTGGTCCAAGACCTCCATTGCCCATCCTCCTGGTCAGTCCCACAGATTTTTGTTTCCCTTCCAGTGGGTACCATGTCCTACCTCTTAGGTGGAGGTGGACATTGTAAACATGATTCTTTCGGAAATTGGCTTTTCTCTGCTCCATAATGTGCACATCTCATTTTGATTTGCTGTTTAGGAATGTGGGAAGCCTGGTTCTTTAGATTTCTCTTGAAGCGGTCTTTGGTGTTAAGATCAGCAGTTACTGTAAAGTTGGCTAATCTCCCCCAACACCTGGTAAAGCCCACCTGAGATCTCCATCTGAATCTCCCTGAATTACGAGATGCTTTTATTTACCTCCAGCTCTTGGCAATAGGAACCACATGAGTTCCATGGTGTGCTCTCCCACCCTGTGGAGTTTCATCCTGGCCTTCGGTGTTTCCTCACGTGCAGGTGTGGACCAGTTCTCAGCAGGCCACAGAAGGCTTTACTGGGATGCAGTGTCTAAGAGCAGACATTTTTTATATTTTTCCAAATTTGTCATTGCTCATCCTGAGGTGGAAAACCCACAGTCAGGTCACAGACAAAGCCTGACACCATGGTCCACACTCAGGACACGTTCCCACGTTTTGCCAGCATGGCCGGTCTCCCACGTGTGTGGTCCTACTCTCTGGGACAGCGCCCTGATCTCCACACCCTCTCAGGCCCAGCTCTGCCCTCTGTGACTGACTTCTCTACCCGGATCCCCACACCCTCTCAGGCCCGGTGCCGTGCCGCCCTCCATGACTGACAGCTCTACCGGGATCCCCACACCCACTCAGGCCCAGGTCCGCCCTCTGTGACTGATGGTTCTACATGCAGTGCTACTTTTCCCCAGCAGGGACAGTGGGACATATGCTCACTTCCCCAGAGCGCTTTTGGAGGGCAGAAAGCGGATATTTGACCCCCTCCCCAAACCTGCAGAGCTGGTCCGCCGTTAGTCCTATGCAGGACAAGGACGTGGCTGTACCTGAGCACAGCCTTCTGTGTCAGTCCTCGTGTTACTTAGGTACTGCGTAACTCCTTGCCAGCACCTTCAGCATTCTCACACACACAGTTTCCAATCCCTATTCCTTTCTTTCTTCTCCCCTCCACTTCTCTCTGGGGCCATCTACCTGGAAATGGTCTCTACCTACCCCCTTGGTGCATGGCAGCAAGAATGGACCCAGTCTGGTTTTCCCTAACACATCGTTATTTAAAACTCATTCCTAAGAACAAAGCCACTGTTAGGGACTAGTATCGCAGGGAGCACTGATTTACCTCCAGATTTTGGAGCTTCGCTCCATTGTGTCTGCTTTCAACATTCACAACAAGAAGTTTGACTCAAGTCTGTACCAACCCGTTTGAAGAGAATCGTGCTTCCCTCAGGCTTTATACTTCCCTCTCTTGGCTGTCAGCCGCTCTGGACTCTGCTCATGGTTTCCTGATGGCTATGGTAAGTTTCCATCTCCACTCTCCATTTTAGCATTTCCTAGAATTCCTTGAAATTATGGTTTGATATATTCAACTTTGGAAATATCTCTCTGCCATCTTCTCAACAAATATAGCTGCCCATTGCCAGCCTTCTCCATTCAGTTTCCATCCCCATGATGGGTGACCCCATTCAGGGTGCCCTACATGCCTCCCGTGTTCCACAGAAAACACAGCCCTCCCGTTTCCTGCACTGCACTTGGGTGTTCTCTGTGGTGCTGTTTTGTTTGTGATGTGCAGTGCAGTGGACATCAGGAGGTCCAGAGGAGGAGAAGGAGGAAAAGGCCCTGATCGGGCCGGGCACAGACCATCCCATCTCGGTGCAGCTGCATGACTGGGCACATGGCTATTGGTCAGAGATCTGGAGACATGAGCCTCTGCTCTCGTGCTGTGGTGAGCTCAACATGCTGCCCCGTCCTTGAAGATGAAGCCCCAGGACCCTGTGCACTGCCCTGGGAGGAGCCAGGCAGGATCTGCACCCCCTGCCCAGCTTGGAGCCATGGCTGCACTGAGGAGTGTATCAGGGCTGGTTTTTCTTTCTGGCCAATTTCTGGGGTCATGTGAGCACAGCCTGAAACCCAGGGATGATCGTGTGTGTGGGACTGGACATCATGGTGCCTCTCTGGGCCTCTGCTGAGGTCAGGTATGCAACTGCTGGAGGGTCCGAAGCTGTGGGAAGGAGCCTGGAGGGGCTCAGCTCTCCCCAGATGCCCCAGCCTAACTTCCACTTACAATGAGGCTGTAGACCCCTGGCCCAGGGAGGGGAAGCCAGGCTGCATGATGAGAGCTGATGGGGTGAGATCTGCCCTCCCAGACCAGAGGTCAGCAGGTATTACTGTGGAGGAGACACAGACTTCCGTGCAGTGGTCAGGACCATGGGGCATGTGGGACCACCCAGGTGGATTGGGATCAGCAGGGGCAGCGCAGGACCAGCAGGGGGTGTTGGGACTGCCAACTAGAAGGAGCAGCCTCTGAAGTAGGAATGGAGGGGATGTTAAAGGCTGTTTTTCTACCTGGGTTTGGTTTTCTCTCTATAACCTCTGTAAATTTGAGATTCTGTGCTTGCCACTGAAACCTCTGAATTCAAAAAGATTCATTGTACAGGAGGAAGCATTCTCCAGTGCACAGAAGGCAGTGTGACCCTGGGAGAAAAATGTCTCCATTCTCTCTTTCCTTTCTTCTTCCTGTTCCTTCTCTCCCATCTCCTCTCTCTTCCTCTCTACGCACTTCGGGGGTCTGTTTATGTTTCCAGCTTCTTCAACAGGGCCAACTCGGTATCAGGAGGACAGTCATGGCTCTGCTGCAGCAGACACACATGAGGCACCACACAACATACAGGGCCTCTGTAAGATGGGCCCCAATCTCATGTTCCTTTTCTGAAGAGACAGTTAAGTAACAAAACTCATTCTGAGTTCTTCTAAACGTGTGACAGAGACTTGTCAGAATTCAGAAATCGCAGTGCACGCTGCACGGCTGGATCTCACCTGTTCACAGGTACTGCTCAGCATGCGTGTTCCACATTCAAGTCAAGAACCCGCGGCAACCAGAGCACGAGGAGAAAGGGGTGGTGGTCGGTCCAGAACCCCTGTTCACAGCAGTTCTTGGTGCCCCAGCCTGGCGAATCGCCTTTGCCTGCTGTGGGTCTGTGCTCGGGATGAGATGCCCATGCACACCCTCCCTTTGGGGAGAGCTTTGTGAGCGACACCACCAGGGTCTACAGAGAGCAGGGCAGAAGCCTCAAGCCAGAAAGAAGCATCTCAGAGCCAGAACAGGAGACTGAGTCAGGGTTTTGTTGTGTTAATGGATGGATTAGGGTGGGAACGCTGACTGGGTAGGGCCTTTTGTGGTTTGAATTCTCACTGACACCCAGGCCCTCTTGTTGGTTTTCCCTGATGGGGCAGATGTGGAAGAGGGAGGGGTGAGACTTAAAAGCTGTTAGAAGTCTAGTACACAATGCATCACACGCCTTACCACACGTGGAAGCTACATTAAGAGAGAAAAAGAGAAAAGCCAATTATGGGTGCGTGATGATCAGGGGTTTCTAGAAAGTGAGGAAAGGAACGTTAATAGGAAAACCCCCCAAAAAATCAAAAAGCGATTAGGGAATGAAGTAGAAGGAATCACAGCATGGCCATTCCTCGAGGGTGATTTCTCACGTTCTCAGTCTTTGTATTTCTCTGTTCTCTAATAAGCACACACATCCTAGGACAAAAACCTAAAATAAATAAATAAAAATAAATAAATAAAATAAAAAAGGAAGTAAGCAGGGGTCTTGGTCTGACATGTCCACTACCTGAGGCTCCTGGCTTGCTCTGGGGTGGGTCCAGGTCAGTTGTCTGCATCCACAGAAGGGTCGAGGGTCTCTGAGAATTGCAGCCTGAATTACCACCATGTGGACTTCCAAATTGCTTCTTCGGTTTAAATGTAAACCTGAGGATCGATGTGGCTAATATGTGCTGTGTCCCTGAGGGGGTGCACCACAATGCCAGGGAGCTGGTGGGAGACTCTTTGGCCAAAGAGTGAAGGCAGTTCTTAATTTTTGTTAATTCTAATGTAACAGTGCCATTGCTTTTATACAACTTTTTCAGAAGATTGAGGGTAGTAAGGGCAGTGTGGTGTCTGACAATAATGCCTTACAAGTTGCTCTTTAATTTCTGCAAGCTCTGTCTTCAGTCATGTGACCCAAAGTTGGTATGCCACAAGCTGGAGACATGAAAGTCAAGAAGCCTTTGATCCTAAGACCATAGTTCGTTACAAGTAATGGCTTCAAGACATTGAAGAGAGAGATGCACAATAAATAAGACATATTGAAGTCCCATGAAATGTAGATAAAATGTGGGTGTTCCAAGGGCCCATGAGGATTGGAGTGGGCCATGCACAGTGAAATGGTTTTCTAGGATTGTGTTGTTAGCTGGTTACGCACAACAAAGAAATCATCTCAGCTGTCTTTTCTACACTCCCCCAAAAGTTCACACCATGTAGAGTTGTTTAGATGGCAGAGATGTATAAAATGCAGTGTAGTTTAATGAGAAATTTAACTAATAGTCACTTGAAATTATCTGTTGACAGCAAGCAGCTGTCTTGAGGGTACCATGGGTTATCTGAGTAGCAAGTAAACCTGTTGTTTTCTGCTACCATTTTTCTTTGTATCAGGAATTTAATTGAAGTGATTTTTCTGACACTCCCTCTAAAGGACCAGGAATACCCCCACTATGCTGTGTTCCTGCCCCCTTGAGTAAAGCTGCGTCGCAAGTCCAGAGACATAAATTC